CATAGCCATGTTTTTGTGGTAATAGACCGACATTGCCTTTATCCCACTTCAGCTGACAATATTGTCACTTCGGATCGTGTGTTACTAATGGAGGTGATATTTGCGGGATTCGAGGTAGACTTTGCATGGATACTAAAGGCGGTGATGCACGAGAGTGCATTCAAGGCCACTACTACTTACCCCTTCTCGTTCATGGTTTTTGCTTTGAGCAGGTTAGCAGGAGTGTCGTGTGGCACATTGATGTGCTCAAGACCCCGTCTGGCACAATAGATATTGGCCTCATTTGGAATGAGGCCAATGAGTTGTCTCCCCACAAAGGGCCCTGTCCGGAGGTGCACCCGCTTGGTGAGAATCTAGAGGCAACGGCAGAGCAAGCCTAAGATGCTAACCCGGCTACATTTGAGCCTACCGTCATCACTCTGGTCAAGTCTAACCTGGGTGGTAGCACCACTCCGAGCTCCTCCCGCTCGACTCTATCTGCTACTATTGTCCCAAATGCTAGGGTGCAGAAACATGAGGCACAAATGGCCACACTTCTGCACCACATCAAGCCTTGGATGTAGAGGTATATTGGTGAGGCAGAGGAGCGCCTAGAGAAGAAGATAATCAAACATACTGAGCGGAAGGTCATGGAGGTCCACCAGCGCTTCGAATCTTTTGAGCAGCGGGTTCTTGCCTGACCAGCCCCTATAGTGGATCCGACAGCTCTACAGGATGCTGTGGAGAGTCTTAGAGCATACCTAGATACTATACTAGAGGCTCGGGTGCCGGAGGCTGAGGCCCCTTCTACAGAGCGCGCTGAGGACACAGTGTTGGATGCCTTGTTGTCCACTGCTATAGCGCTAGAACCTTCCCCACGAGAGCGTTACAAAAGGCACCGAACTAGGGATGAGGATGCGTCCCAGGTTTGGAAGAAGGAGCACGATGAGTTGGAGGCTGCAAGGATAGCCTCTCTTATTGATGAGGAGGCCCGCTTGTTGAGGCTGAGAGGAGAACTATTAATGGTGTTGTTGTTGGTGAGGAGCACTATTGATGGTGTTGTTATTAGTGAGTACAGTACCCGCCAGCTTGTTGATCGTCGGCGCTTTGTGCCTCAGGTTTTCTTAACCTACCACCCTATTTTGTATACTTCCATGCATTGGGAACAATTGCATGTCTTTTGTTGGGGGTGGGGTAAATGGAAAGTTAGTGCTAGGGTGAAGTTTGAGTATCTAAACTAGCGATCCTCTCTTGGGGTTTTCTTGCATGTGTTCTTTTTTCCCTAGAGACTGGTTATGTTTATTGTTGAACATGCATGTTGGTATCTTTTGTACATACTATAGAAATGGAATCTGAAGCATGATGGCTAAACAAAATGATATCCTGATTTAAATAAAATGTTGCATGACTAGGCACAGTAACTGATAAATGTGTGGCTCTAAGCTTTATATAGAGATATACCACTATGACCTTAAATATAAAACTCGAAATAGGTTTATGATAATTTTGTAGAGTAATGAGATGTCAAACGACTGTGAGGAAAATTTGAATATTCCACCATTGGTACTGAGCTAGAACTTGCCTGGTTAGTCCTGCTAAAAGTGAGTCGTAATAGATAATTAGGAAACGATCGTAGGCCCTTGTTCAATAAAGTAGTTCTTTACCCTAAATTACATAAAACTGAATGAAATTAATCCCTTTTTGATCCAAATGATTTAAGCTTAAAATAGACCTTTATTTGTCACCCCAACTGATCTTTTCTGGGAAAAATGTGTTGCCCTGGTCCCTCTTTGGACATGTGCACCTCAGCTTATTCCAAAAGCATAAGTTGAGGGTGCTAATGTAGAAAAAAACCTTGTCGTGTCCCTGACCCAAATTTGGGTATGGTGTATGTTGACTCATGTCAAAGCCGTGTATTGAGGATAGATATTATCAGGAATACTCGGGAAAGTGGGGTTGAAACAATAAAGAGAGAGAAAGAACAAAAGAAAATTGACTCAAGAAAAGTTGAAAGCAAAGTGAAAAAATTTGAAAAATTTAAAATAAAAGAAAAGAGAAGTCACTTACAAAAGAAGAAAAAAGAAGGGAAAATATCAAGTTGAAAGAAGATTGAGAAAAAAGGCGTAATAGAACGATAAAAAGGTAGGACACATAGCTGTTATGTTAAGGAGGGAAAAAAGTCACTCAAAAAATATCCAAATGTACCTTACCTAACCCTGAGCCTAAATTACAAGCTATGAATGTCCTATTGTGATCCTAAGAGTGCACTATGGTAAACTTAAAGCAGTGAAAATAAGGGAAAGCCTTTGGCAACAAGTATAAATAAGGTGAGATGTTGTTATGAGAGTGAGTGTTGAAAAATAATCATTATACTAAAACTGAAATCATTATATGTTGTTTTGATGTGGGGCACTAGTTGCAATACTAGAAAATTGGTACCTGAGTGAGAGATCAAAGAGGATGGGTGTCAGTGTGTGGTGACTTTGTGTCATTGTCTGATCCACATGATCAAGCCTAATAGTGATAGCATGCATAAATCAATTTTAAAATAATTGGGATTGATAGCCAGATGATTGCAAAAAGATAAAATAAGGATGCTCTTGTACAAAGATTTTGCGGTGAGTCATAGTGCGTTTCTTGAGGACAAACAACAAATTTAAGTTGAGGGTTTTGATGAACTGTGGTTTCACGGTACTTTGAATGTTTTTTCCTTAAGTTTAGTGTGTGTCTAAGGCCTTTTTGTATTGGTTTTAATGTAGTTCTCTCTTTGTTTGCAAGAAATCTGTCCAGAAGGAGAAAGTAGGAGAATTGTACTGAAAATTGAAGAAGTGACGACCTACAGAGCCATTAACGGTCCGTCATGACCTCGACGGTCCATAGGTGGCAACCGTCATACGGTGAAAAAGGCAACTAAAGTAAGTTCAGGAATTCTGACTAAGTGTGGGGCTGCGGAGGCTCTCGACGGACCGTCATAGCCTAGTACCCATCTACAAAAGATTCTAAGAATGGAAGAACGAAAGCCATTGATGGACCATCGTGCATGCAATTGAGTGTCATCCATGTCGTTCAATGTTAACAAAAAGTTGGTGAAGAAAGCAGCAGAAAAAGAAATTAAGTATGCAACGACGGAGGGGCTCGACGGTCCGTCATGACCTCGACGGTCCGTTGCTCCACTCGCCGACTCAGACACATTTTTTTGCAGATTTTCCTTAAATAGAAATTCCTCTTTTGTTAGGACTCTATTATTATAAATACTTGTAAAACCCTCATTTTTTTTATTAGACTCTTTGATATTTTCTAGTTTTATTGTTTTAAATGTTGAATTTTTGGATTTTGTGAAAATTACTTTGTTTTCCAGAATCGTTTGTTGCAAGTTTTTTTATTAAAGGAATTTATTTAATCCCATCAAAGTAAGTGCATGAATTCTTATCTTATTAATATGAATTGTGTCATTATTAACATGGATAACTAAACTCCATAACTAGGATTGTGGAAACTATTGGAAAATAACAGGGTAAAACCTAGCTAAAATAACAATTCTCGAATAGTGTCTTGCATGTATTGATAATTCTTTCGTTAGAAGTCTTTTTAACGAGTGCACACATTAGAACTTGCCTTATTGTTACTTATCGTACCAAGTAGGTAGATAATAAGAAAAGAGTTATCAACGTAGATTTAGTATATACTATCTAATAGGCTAGTGTCGGTTACTGTGAAGTAACAACTAAACAAAGCATCTATTATGATACTTAATATGAGTTAAAGATAAGGTTTAGTAAAGCTTACACACGTAGCGAGACCAACATGTGGAGTGAAATTTCCAAGTTGTCAGACCAAGAAATTCGGGGTACATAACTTACCACTTTGCATGTAAGATACTAGGGAAGGATTGCTATAGCTAGAATCACCGCGTTATGAACATGTGGAGAACACTTAAGCCCTAGTTACTCTCATTACTTGATAAAAATCAAATCTTTGAACCTGTTACTTATTTACTTTGAAATAGCTTATTACATTTATTGCTTAAACCCCCCCCCCCTTTTTTGTTACTTTTTTCTTGGAAAGGACTTGACTAAATAGAAGTAATAATAGGTTAAGGTTAAGTCTAAATTATTTTCCTCGTGGGATCGACAGCAACCTCGTTGTTGGGTTCTTTACTTTATTCGACCGCTTATACTTCTTTTCGAGAAGTAAATTTGAGCATATCAGGCGGCTTGGTATAATTCTATGTATCTTTGGCCAAATAACCATACTTGATTCGTTAAATATTTAGAGAATAAAAATAGCGCAACAGTCTCTCGGTGGTTTTACGAATGGTGGACACAGTTCGAAGGAAATAAAAAGGTATTATAACGACAATTTTTAATGCAGTTTGAGAAATTCTAGGTAGAACAAAATATCTCTACACTCCCGAAAAATATTAAATGGTGTAAATTCTTTATTTCCAAAAGGATATGTTATATTTTTAGTTTGTCCTTTGATATTGTTGAAATGGAAAGGATCAAGTATGTAATAAAGACTATCAAAATTAAAGGATGTACTCCAAAAGATCACAATGACAGGTTAGTTATCGGCTCTTCATCTTGAATGAAATCCGAATTTTCAAAAGAAGAATTTAAAGAAGGCTCGAAGAAGCCTTATCAAGTCTCGGTAAAACTACCAATCATTAAAATACAATGGAATTATAGGACACAACATCCTTAGACAATAAAGACAAGAAAGTGTCATGCTTATGTTAACATTTATTATGTCAACAAATAAGCAAACAGGTGGACCACGATGGAATATAGTCAAAAGCAACAAAGTGACAAAAGGACTAAGTAAAAATATATATGTTTTGAAGATAAAATTTCAGCAAAAGAAGATAAACAAGCAGTGAAGACTACGTGTAAGTTGATCCACCTACGCGGCATCTATCTCAAGCCACGTATATTTATCATCAGTTATTTGTAATAGGTAGTAGTTACTTGTAACAAGAATTATGAGTATTAGTGTATGAACACATGTAAAATAGATTTCATAATAAGTTAGATGAATCAACACTTTTGAGGCCTATTTAAGTCTTTCAACTTGTACCACTTGAGGGCATTCAAAACCTTACGGACTTTGAAACCTCTCTACACTATCTCCCAATTTTCCATAATTCCCATCCATGTTCTATCTTTCCCTAAATTAATAAAGAGTTTGTAAGTGCATGCTTTCTCTCTATTTAAATTTAGTATTTATTTTCATGTTTTAAAATTTAATGTTTTAATATTATTTTCGTGTTCTTCTCTTTCATGTTCTTTAAGTATTTTCTTTATGTGTTTTGCTCCCTTTTGTTACTCTGCCCAAATGTATTTAGTATTTCGTTTCGAAACTCGGTCTATCTTGATAATACCTATAACACTTGTTGACCTATAACCTATAACACTGTTAACCGCTATTGCTTCTCATTCGGAGCAATTTTTGACTTTTTTGTACAATTTTAATAATCTTCATCTTGTGACTAGCTAAGAAGTATAAAATTAATTTTCATTTTTAATTATTATTGATCTCATTAATTCCATGAAGAATTCTTATAATTTTTTTTGCAGAGTTATCTTTATTTGAAAATTGATGAAAAAATATATAATTTTTATAGAAAATGTATGGCTTCGTTGAAGTCATTGTTTAAATTATTTTTTTTCAAAAAAGGTAACTCCTAGTTTTGCAAAAAAAATTCTAGGAGGAAGAGAAGATTTAATAACCTTTATTGTAAAAGTTTCATGATGTAAAAGTGAATTTATTTGAATATATTTTAATTCTTTATGAAATTACTTTCATCTTTTGACATAGTATTTCGATAGGAGAAGATGAGATTTTTCCCTAGTACTCTGATATGGATGCCATCTAATTGTGAGGTATAAGACTTCATTTGGGTGATGAATGGAATACCTAATATAATTTCTTCATTTTTGTCTTTTATTATCATGAAATCATTTAGGAAACCAATTTCATTATTGCATATATAAGCATTCGGAGTTTATAATTTATTTTAGTGCCTTTATCTAGATATTTATGTGGAATTAATCTTTCAATAATGCAGTTTTAATCTGCGCCTGCATCAAATAATGCAATTTTATGAATGACATAATTTTTATCAATGATTTATGTGATGGGTATGTGGTAGCTTTGTAGTAGAATGAATGTAATTAGATTAATTCTTAATTTCAATAGAGGTTCTACGAGAGACTCTATATCTTTTGATGTTTCTCCTTGTTCAAATTTATATTCTTCCGATTCTTGGTTAGATGGTGGATTATTTAATACTTTATTATTAATATATTCAACTTCTAAAGTGTTGAGTCTTTTCTTAATTTCATTTATTTCATATTTTATTTGTAATAATTCAGTGTGAAAACTTTGTAGAGTTATTTCAAATTTAATTGGTTGCTTAAATATATTTAAAACACTTGTCATATCAAAGGGCTCCAATACCAATGGAGGGGATGTACCGAGTTTCAGGACAGAATCCTTAGTGAAATTGGGCAGAGTAATGGATGGGAGAATATATAAGAACAAGAAGTCATTAAATGAAAACCTTTTCAATTCTTAAAATATAAAACAAAATATTGAAATACGTAGAGAAAATATGTACTAATAAAACTTTTTATTGATGTAGGGAAAGGAGAGAGAACATGGAAGATGGGAGATGGAAAATATGGTGAAATGGAGAGAATAGTAGAGAGGTTTTTCAAAGTCGGTGAGATTTTGAATGCCCTGTACTGATACAAGTTGAAAGCCTTAAATAGGCCTCAAAAGTGCCTGAGTAATCTATCTTATTATGCTTTATATTTTACATGTGTGCACTTATATATAGCCTTCACTGCATGTTTATCTTTTTTTGCTTGAAGTTTATCTTCGAAATATATATCTTGTTACTTGGTCATTTTGTCACTATGTAGCTTTTGACCTTATTCCTACTGGGTCCACCTATTTGCTTATTTGTTGACATAATAAATGTTAACATAAGCTTGACACTTTATTGTCTTTATTGAAGATGATACATAAATTCATTTTTTTATTGGTATGTAAGGATGAAATGCCTAATAATTCTGTTATCTTTTCATGATTGATAGTTTTGTGAAGACTTGATAAGGCTTCTTTGAGCCTTTTTTTAATTCTTCTTTTGAAACATCAGATTTCCTTCGTAATGAAGAGCCAATAACTAACCTATCTCATGATCTTTCAAAGTACATCCTTTAATCTTGATACTCTTCCTTAGATACTTAATCCTTTCAATCTCATGAATATCAAAATACCAACTATTAATATAAGATATCGTTTTGGAAATAAAGAACTTACACAATTTATTATTTTTCGAAAGTGTAGAGATATTTTACTCTACCTGGAATTTCTCAAACTTGCATAAAAAATTGTGGTGATAGCACCTGTATATTTTGTAACAACCCTAAAAATGAATAGGATCAAGAATTAGGGTGTTAAGAATGCTTGAGATTAAATCAAGGTTCACACGGATTGATACATGTATAACCGGACTTCAAAACCCTTACTACGACAAAGTCAACTAACTTGGGAAGTTAGTTGAGCTTGAAAAGGTTGGAACCAACCAAGTAAGGCTCGCAAAAATGAAGAGTTAATCGAAGGAGTCTTTACCGGGCTTAAAAGAGGAAATTTAAAGTTTTAAGGGTCCTGGGTAAAATAGTCTTTTCTAGGACAAGGGTATATTTAAATTACTCGAGGAATTAATAAATTAATTAATTAATTTAATTAAAGGATCAATTCGGATTGGGGCCACCAGGAGTGACCAATTTCGCAAATACGGTGCCACTCGGGTTTGAGCCCCACTAGGAGAAAGGAATTGATGATTTAATCATCAATTAATCTATTCATTAAGGATAAAATGGTCCTTTCCCATATTAATTAAAATAAATAAGATTTTGTTGTTAATTTAATTACATCCTATTTTGAATAAGTCTTGAATTTAGTCTCCTTATCCTAATAACACTCTCCCTCAAGTTTCTCAACTTTTTTTCACGTCTCTCGACTCTCATTCTCTCACGCTCTGACTAATAAGAAAGCTCAAGAACAGTTTAGTAACAATTGTTCTTCACACTTGAAAAACACATGAAAAGTTTTAAAAAAGCAAGGTAATCAGAAACATCAAGGCAAATTGAGGTTGTTAGTCGAGTGGTGTGTACGTTGAGGAGAATTGAGCGTGGTTTGGAGGAGTTTCTGGGCAGCAGCTTCAGACTTTAAAAACATCAAAAGGTATGGGTTTCTCTCCTTCAATTCTTTCTCCAAGAATATATTCCTTCGAACGATTCTCAAGGTCTTGAAAACTAAGGTTGTTCCCCTTTGTATGTGCTTGTCCTTAGCTCCCAAACGAATTCGTAGGATGACTATGTTGTGCTCTAGATTTAGGAATGAATGATGTATTTATATTAAATGTGAACATGTTTATATGAGGTAAATTACGAAAACGATATTCAAAGTGTGATCGAAAAGTTGGTGTGTGTGTGTGCACGTGGGCAGTGACTTTGGCCACTGTTTTGGGGTTGGATAAATAATATATTTCTTGTATATTTTATGTGTTCAATGTGTGTACAATGTGATCTTCATTACCATTAAGTATAGTGGATTGAAATAACCATCTTTTAGCCAACTACACTTATGAACAATGTGACTAAAAATGTGTTGAATAATGACAAGATTTTTTTCCAGATTTGGGTACTTTATAATAAGGTTGAAATCTGGGTTTTAAAAGGGAAAATTAACTAAGTTAGGTCAATGGGAATTGAACCCAAGACCTCACATGTTAAGATGGCTGAAAAAGAAAGAAAAACGTGAAGGAGCTAAGGGGAATCGAACCCATTAGCTACTGGTTTCGTGTAGCAAAAAAACAAAAACAAAATGGGGACTAGGGGGAATCGAACTCGCGATCTGTGGGGAGAAGGAGGATAAAATTAATAAAATAAATAAATGGGAGGCGTGGAATTCGAACCCACGACTTCCTGGTACGTGTAAAAGAAAAAAATAAGGAAAAAGAAAATATGAGACGTGGGAATCGAACCCACGACCTCTAGGCTGAAGGAAGAAGAGGAATTAATTAGGAAATGAAGTAAGGTTGTGGGGGTTGGATCCCACAACCTCACTTTCACTCGCCCAATTTAAATAAAAAAAAGATAGAGAGGTTGTGGGGGTTCGAACCCACCACCTCACAGCCTCCACAACGAAATCAAAAGAAAAATCAAAGACGTTGTGGGAGTTTGAACCCACAACCTCTTGGTTTGGGAGAAAATGAGCAATATATTATAAATGAAAAATAAAAAGAGATTGTGGGGGTTCGAACCCACAACCCTTTGGCTAAATTAAGAGTAAAATTAAATAAAAAATCTATCTTTCAATGTTAATGTTGAGATTTTATTTAGAGTTTTAATGTTATGAATATTAGAAATAAAATCAATGAAAAATATAAATGATATTCAAGTGATTCAATATTTGGGTTCCCTTGCTCAAACATTTGTATTGATACATAAGTAATACGAGAGTAAAATATCCAAGAATAATGCCATCTACTTAGATAAAAAATCAATATCCCAGCATATATAAAAGATACATAAGTCTTGTACTACATAATCTTAGGAAAGTAAGAATCACTTAATGAACTATGAATGAAGCCATATGGCTTGTATGTATAAACACATAATTCAAACATACGTTCAAAAGTAAGTTAACCTAAGATGTGTGTAATGAAATGATGAACCCTAGGATGGTTAAGTATGACTGTAAGATACACTAAATGGCCAAGTGCAATGACATATGATGAGATGAACTATGAAATTATGAAATGAACGTTCACGTAATAAGACGTGAGTAACTATGAAAAGCAAAGGTAATAATAATTCAGAATGTGGTGACAACATGATATGGGATAATGTATATGATTAGAGCAATCTCAAATGAGACTAAGTAAATGTTACTAATACGTACTCACCAATGAGAGTGTAAGATAATGAAGAGACTAGTCTCTATGACTACTCTAATGAAAGTATTGAGTTTAGCATACTGAATACTAATGGTGAGATGAGAAATGATCTAATGAGCTATGCTTTCCTCATACTAGAAGCCAGCTTCCATGAGTATGAGTTTAATGTAATGGAACTTTATACAAAGTACCGATAGGCTAACTATGAATAGTGATGCCTTCTTTCACGAACGGCGAATGTTCACGTAACTCTCATGAGATGAGATTGTCTAGCTTGCTGGGTATGGATCTCCATACATATCCTAGTCTTTGAATCACTGTGGCAAGTTGTTCCACCTACTTTTGGTGTGGGGTAGACATTGGATTTCATGATGCTCACATGATCTATGTCGGTTAAAGTTAAAGTTCCCAATGAATAAATGAGTCCAGTCTCAAATGAAGTATATAAAGAATGAATGGTACGAAAGGTGTTAGGATAGGATAATCAAGAGGTGAGATAGATTCAGGTAATGACATTAGGTTATTCATGATCATTGCACAGCAAACCCAATGAAAGTCTTAAACTACACCTAGGTTTAGCTGGTGCTCACATTGTCCTATTAACGAAATGAAATAAAGTACGTATGAATGGATGAAGCAGACTCTGTGTTTGATAATGAAGACTCCCTAGTTGAGGTCCCATATTTTGAACCCTCATTTTGGAAGTCTTAATCTCAAGTCCATAATTTTAAGGTCTCATGGCATATGAATGAATGATAAGAAAGAAGCTATGTGTTCTATGTTATGTGCTAGATATGTCTGATATGAAGATGTTATGTGTTGTGTGCAATACGATATTTATAGTGATGCATGTTACTCTCATGGAATGACCTTCCTAACTCAATTTGGAAAGTTCACTAAATTTCCTAATATCAATTTGGCAAGTCTACTGACTTGACATCCAAAAATAAAAAATCTTTCAGTTGTTTATCTCTTTAATGTTAGATGGTTGATGATGAACGATTATGAAATGTTAAGAATGTTTAGCAAGTATGTTTAAAGAACCAAAAGTTTCAAATTTTCTGCTAAAACTAACCTATGTAAAGAAAGGATGACATAAGTAGGCTTATTTGCGATGTTTGAGAGGTCAACAACGCAGGTCTTGATTCCAGTCGTGACAAAGTTGGTAGTAGAGCACCAGGTTAAATTACGAAAATAGTAAGTTCACATCAACCACATTGAGTAGAGTCTAAGTCATTCTAGTGAAGTGTACCACTATTTTGAATAAGAAACTGTATGATATAGAGGAAAATTTTCCTTCTTCTGATCTTATCATGCTTTTTCTAATGTCTGAGTCCTTGGTGTTATGAGCGTGTCTAACATCAATCCCTTTTTTTTAGAGAATGAACACTAGGAGGGATATTGGTAAGAGGAGAGGAGGAAGAGCTGCTGAGGGTAATCAAGTTCCACCCTAGGCCCCAGCTGAAGGAGTGGACATGCCGGTTAACCTAGTTGGGTTGACTGATGCTGAGGTGAGAGAATATATGGCCCAGATGGCACATGTCATCCAGATGCAGGCTCAGGCTATGACTGCCCAAGTCAACTGGCAGGATGATCAGAGGAGAACCCACCTGTTCGCAACATGGCTGACAAACTACGAGATTTCACGAGGATGAGTCCTCATATATTCACAAGGGCTAAGACATGGGAGAATACTCAAGAGTTTGTAGATGAGGTGCATAAGATCTTGGTGTCTATGGGTCCAGTGATATTGAGAAGGTTGAGCTGACTTCCTATCAGCTCGAGGATGTTTCACATACATGATGAAAGATGTGGCATGATAGTTGTCTCTTAGGTGGAGTGCCAATCACATGGAATCTGCTCAAAACAACATTTCTGGAGAGATTTTCTCCCCAGAGAGATGAGGGAGGCCAAGGTTGAAGAGTTCATTAA